CCTATTCTAGGCATTGAGGTAGCTTTTGTTACTGCTTCCRTAAAGATTGCCAGTTAACATATATTTACATTTAAATATATGACTATTAGACTTCCTTTTTAAACATGTAATATATTGATAGTGCTAAAAATACGTACTATCTGCCAATCTGGTAGGAATTATGGAGCTACAGTTTAGATTTCCCTACACTGCGCTGCCAAGTGGCCTCAATCAGAAGTAATTTTCTCCATGAAGGCACATGTGGCTCAYGCGTCAGCCTCTCCTCAGCTGATATTATTATTTGTATCAAATTATATATGGCAATTTTTTCAAATGGACTGCTGTGCCCTCTAAGCCATCCAYGTTTCTGCTGCATTCACTGCTATCACTAATTGTCCTGCTTTCTAATGCCTCTTGCCTATCTATTTTATTTGAAAAAAAGATCTTAATTGTATGAATAAGTACATATAAAATACAGTTAGTACTAACTGCATAAACACAACTGATAAAAAACAACCCCTCTCAACCCCAAACTGCTGTGTTATGTAAAACACAAGTATAGTTTTATAACAGAAATACTTTTCTTAGAGCTTCATGAAAAGTCTGGAATGAAGTAATGGAGATTTAATTTGCCTTCAGTACCTCATTTGAGATCAGAAATTAAGYCTTTTATCTAATGAATTTGGAAATTCTTAACTGCTTATCATGTATCTAGCTAATCTAAAGTACTGGAGATTCCCCACTCCTTAGATTACATCAAATTCTTTTACAAACTGCTAATAAGAAAAGAATTGTTGACATGAGAATAGAAAACAAACATTTAGACTCTCTCTCTGGAATTAACCCTTAAATCTTCTGAGTTTGAAATTTTACTTTTTATTTTAAGAATTTAATCACATAACAACAAGGCTGTTGACTGTCAGATAACTGTGACAGAAGGTCTTCAGTGGTAGGAGACATTTGCATTTGTATTGCTGTGTTGTTGTTACATTGTTTTGTTGTCAATGTCCAACTTAATCAAGTTATTGAAATATATTTTTTAGGTGAACAGGGACAGAACCTTGATTCCATTACAGTTGCAATAAAAAGCAGTAATATATATGTGCAGATAAAGCATGTGTGCCATAACTACTTAGTAACATGGTAGGTGTAAGTAATGGAAGGTAAATATAAGTACTAAAAAAAAAAATGAATAATCTATATGGAGACTGGTGAAGGTAATACAATCAGCTAATTAATAATAAGCGAGGGGGAAAAAAAACACATAAAAACACTGTAAAGGAAAACAATTGCAATAAACTTTTTTTTTCAATGTATTTATTTTTGTCATTATGTCTCTGTATTTGTAAATCAGACATTGCAGATGTCTGATTTAAAAAAAAAAAATACATTTTTGAACCAAAGAAGGTAGCTCACTAGCTTACTTGATTTACTGATAGAAGGGAAAGATGGTTGGAAAACTTAGATTAGGCAGAGATGAGTCTGGAAAGTTGGTGTGTTTGCCTTAGTCAAGAATATGTAATTTCAGACAATTTTTATTGTGAAATTCTGACAACTAACTCTTTTTCAAAATCATTGTCTGTTTATATGAAGATGATTAGAGTCATCAAGAAGAGATGGTTTTAGTCTATTTATACTTCCTAATAATCAGCTTTTGCTTCCACTGCTTTCTTTAAGTGATCATTAAAAATAGCCACAAAATTAAAGCGTGGATATTTTGGTTGACAAGAAACTGGCTGTGAGRAAATATTTAATTTTGTTATTAACCTGGTGAACTGCTTTTATTGATGTTGATTAATGTGTTATTATTTAGTTATATTAAAGCTGTCGGTGTATAGGCTTGAACTTGATATGAATGTTTTTAAACACTTAAAATAAAGGACAGCCCAGCATAAACGAGACAAAATTTGTCCCAAAGTTCACCTARTAGCTGGTTTAACTACAGAATGCAGCAGCAACATGAAACCTAGAAATATATTTACACACTGATCCCTCAATTTCAGCAAAATTTGTGATTTTTTTTAAGAACCCAGCATCTGATATCAGACACTGAGGTACATAGTACTCTAATGTGTACCCATGTACACATATGTGTTTTTATTTCGATGTGACAAAATTTACACTCACACACCCAAATCTTTGGACAAAATAAGGATGTATTACGTGTATAAAGTTCATTTAAAAAAAAAAAAAAAAAAAGGCAGCTGCTAAGAACTTTTTTAACATAAGATTTGTTAAAAAATAAAGTTCCAACCCTGAAAAGAGACTGTTTTTTGAACCTGTGCAGTAGAGGTTTTTACATTGCCTTCCTTCTGCCTTGGAAAAAGTGTTAATGGAATTATAAGATCTTTGTTTCCATAACTGCTACAAATAGAAGCATAACAGCTACCCTTCTGGCATTGTCTTAGCTTATATATGATAATTATTCATTGCTGTTTACATGTTGGTTACCTGACCAGGCTTAATGTCTAGAAACAGACCTAAATATCATACGTACCTGCCATTTGGATTGCTTGCATGGATAGTGTTTTTAATATGTTTTTCAAGATACTCTAATTTAAAAACTTAATTTATGGTAAAAAGCAACTCGTTTATCAGCAAGTCATCTTTCACTGAAATGTGGGCTGAAGTTTTTCCAAAGTTAAAATATGTGAAAAATTTGTTCAGGTTATTTGTGATGTAGAACATATTTGTCGATGCTTACACATGACAGGAGTTTGTGTTTTGCTTTTGCTAGGAGCACATAAATGTTTCTACAGTAATATTTTACAAACAATGTCATGTTTTAATAAAATCATAAGATGTGGAAGATATTTTGACAATCTGTTCTGAATCCCTTGATATTTACACATCAGATCAAGTAGGGCTATTTTTGCTTCCAAGCACTGTTTTCCTGTTTGATGAGTATTCAAAACAAAGGTATTCATATTGGTTTTCTATATCACTGCCATGATCCTTAGACATAAATGTGTATAAATCCTTCCTATATTAATCTTGTGATATTTTTGGGGAATTTATAGAGATGTGTATAAATCTCCTTTCTGAATTAAAAAAAAAAAAAAGACTTTAATAATAAAAACAAATGAAAAGAAGCAGGAATAGAAAAAGGGTTGTTATTTTTCTTATTGTTTCTGTTTGCATTATTTGGTTCATGCTTTTATATCTGAATTGAAATTAGACACATGTAAGGTGCCCCAGTTGCTTATATTTCAGTGCAATGCAATGCGAACAATTCTTCTAGTATAAATTAATATTTTGTTCTCCACTCTATATAGTAGAATATCCACTCTTCATTCTGTCTGSTTACTGAGTTGCTGGATTCTCCCAACATAGTTAGAAAGTGCAGTTAACAATAATGGACACTTTGGTAGTGGGGAAACTTAATTTCTTCTGCCATAATAGTGGCTTTTTATTTTAAGATATATGTTGCTGAATGATGAATGACACTGGTGAGTATGTGTCCGCAAYAGTGAGTTCATTTGGTCAGGTTCTCAGCTGGCCTAAGTAGCCCTGTTTCTGTGAAAGATAGTAAGCTTTAATTTATGTAATCCCAGCTGGAATCTCAGTCAGATTCAATAAAAAGTAACTGTCATACTCCTCTGAAGCAAGAATTGTGCAACCTAGCCTAAAGAGAATTTTGCTGTTTTAATAAATGTAGGTAGTCACTGACTCATAATAAAATACATAAAATTAGAGTGTAGTCAATCTTTGATTTCTTTTAAAAAAATTATCCCTGCCTTTTCATCAAGTGCAACAGAATCATTTATGTATTATTTCACAGCATGACAGAATATATAGGAATAGTGCATTTTATACTAGAAAACTATCATATAAATACAAATTACATTTTTTTCATTAGGTAGCTACCTTTCATTTCTAGCAAGAAAYAGTCAATTATAAATGAGGCTGTGCTTTCATTGGAGAATGAAATATATCATTTTTTTTCAAGTCTCAATCATATATAATGAAATCTCTCCTTTGAAATCCAGTCTTAGAGTGGATTTTGAAAGATACTGACATTTAATAAAATCTTAGTTAAAATATGATCAGTTATTTCAAGTCTCTCTATAAATCTAGGGTAAAATTCTGCATCTGCACAAGACAAGTCTTTACCAAACAGTTACTCTTACMCAATTAAGAGTAAAGTGTGTAAAGAAAGAAAATTTAATTTTTGAGGACATTCCAATTGGTAACCTAGATACTGTGTATTTTAGATCCGTCAGACAGTGTCCCTTGAGAAGGATCTGTAGGAATAGGATATCTAGGTAACTAGAGGAATCAAAAACCTTAGGCTGCCATTTCAAATTCAGACTTATGCCCTGCTTCTGTAACTGGCTTATGTTTCTGTAGCCTTTGGCTAGTAGTTTACCACAATGGTTCTCTGGCCTCTGAGAAATGAAATGATAAGTCTGTCTGAATCCCATCTGGGAAAATAGGCTGGTGGTGTATTAAAGAATATAGTAAATTAATGATCACAGAGAATATGAAACTCCCTTTAAATCCCTTCAGGTATTAGCTGATATAAAACAGCAGACTAAGTTGAAGTTTATACTGTCAATATACCTCTGTTACTTTACTGACATCAATCCTGTTATTCTGGAAATGAAGTCTCTAAAGGAAACCTATGAAGTACTGTAATTTAGCATAAAAAATCACAAAGAGAAGAAGGGTTTTGTATATAATTTTTGATTTCCATTATTAGAACTGTTAACTTCTAATACTAGAATCTAATGAATAGTAAAGGAAACAAGTGCAAGTATTAGTGACACAGTAATTTTGTCTATTCTTACTCTAAGTAACCAGTTAGGAAAGCAATCACTTCACTTTCTGTTCAATACTATTTAGTGAGTTCCAAAAAATGCACAGCAGTTGAAGGAATAACTAGCTCCAGGCTTCCATTTGGGAGTTCACTAAGGTTTTATTTCACGTTGTCCTCTTAGATGGTTTGCCACAGTGTTCCTGATTCTTTTTAAAGGGCCCCTCGAGGATGCCATTGATGATGAAGAGGAGGAGTGCCTGTCTGAGGAAAACGATACAGTCTCTAAAGAAGACTTTCCATTGGAGGAAAGCTTTTCTGCAGAGTTTGAACCTGAAAATCTGAGCTGTGAAGAAGTGGAATACTTTTGTAATAAAGGTAATCATTGTGGCCCGCCTTTTGAGGGAATATTATGTAACTGTGTTCAGCTGATCAAAAATATTATGTGCTTTTTAAAATTTACAAAAATTCCTATTAACGTGGTACTTGAAAAATAGGAAAATAAATTACTTAGAAGTTAGTCTGCAAAGGGGTAAGTATTTAAACGTGACGGAAGATTTCTTTTTCAGGGAGGTGAAATCTTGCCTTTAATGTTTCTTTCTCTTTATGTATAGCAGAGATCTCAAAAGTCCATTATTCTCAAATATGAAACTAACAATCCAACATATTTGTCCATTTCTTCTTTTTGTAGGAAACCATGCTAGAAAAACAGGGTGTGTCTATAGATACCAGGGTTAAAATACAACGTATAATACTTACTCATAAGAAAAGTGATAATTTGTGGGAGGATACTTTTAAATTTGCAGTGCCTTTTTGATGTATTACTTTCAAACTATAGCACATATATTTATATATTTTAGCGTGAGTCACACCAACTCATTCTTACTCAGTGTTCAGCCTGCAAAATTGTGTGGTTTTCAGTTTACAGAAAAAGCACACTATCATTACTGTTATTTAGAACATGGACTTAATCTTCTTCAGGATTTCTACTTGATTGCATTATTGTTTGTCTTCTGCAGGTAAGGATGCCTATCAAATAGCTGGAAATATTGTGATGATGTTCTGTTAGTCCACAACCACCTCAGGCAGTTGGATATCAATGAGTTTTTGCTTTTGGTTCTTTTGCCAATAGTGACATGCATTTTCTTATGATAGCTTGCGTGGTATATTTTCGTTTGTTTTATTTTTTGTTTTATTTTGTTTTGTTTTATTTTTGTGTTGTTTTTATTTTATTTTGTTTTGTTTTATTTTTGTTTTGCTTTTGTTTTATTTTGTTTTGTTTTGCTTTGTTTTGCTTTTGTTTTATTTTGTTTTATTTTGTTTTTGTTTTATTATGTTTTATTTTATTTTAGCTCGCTTTGGATAAACTAGAACAAATCAATCTGAGGAATCAAGTAGTATGATTGCAAAGTGTTAGTCTCTTGCCAACAATGGGGAGGGCAAGAAAATTTAATTTCTACATGCTTTCTATGTAGTTTACAAACTTCTGAAAAAATGTAAGTACTTGATACTTAGTAAGAAATAACCCTAAGAGATCAGAACAGTCTATTGCATAGTATAGAGGTCCATAACTGCTATAAAATTTATTGTGAAGCAAATCTAGTTTACAAATGGTGTCAAACACATACAATACAATACACAATACATACATGCAAACACAATAGAAATGAGGGAGTTCAATGTTATTATAATTGCACTGTAGAGAACTCCAGCCATTGCTCTGCATTCGTTTGTTGCTCATGTGCCTTTTAGGCATCTCTTTGCTTACCTGAAAAAATGTTTGCTGATACTGGTATTAAGTAATTATTATCTAGACCTAAATTTGACTAATTGTCATACTGACAACTCTTAAATTCCTTCTGTCTCCATTAGAAYGCTGTGTACCCTTCAGAGTGGTTTGAGGTACCTATTTCTCTGCTCTGCTTGCTGTATTTCCAGGGCCAGCAATGGAAATACTACTGTTTGGCATGAAATTCACACAAATGTGTGCTTTTCCTTTTGGTTTATAGTAATGATTATTGCATAATCATATTGTATTTCAAGTTTTCTTGTTACTGTCCTTTMTTGGGAACATTTTTCAGGGAAAACACTAAGTCCAAGGCATTGTTTTTAGCACAGATTGGAATTAAACAGGARGGAATTAAAATATAGACCGGATTACCATATATGCTATAAGGACATTTCTTGATTCTTCAAGCCCAGAACCTTTTGACTGCCCAGCACTTCTTTTTTCAAAGTGAGTGATTTCTATTGTAGTTATGAAAAAAAAACTTGAATCTTGCTAGGTTCAACCTGCAACTGCTAAGGAGGAAAAGTTGAAAACTTCTGAGGATGAAGGGTCACATAAAACTCCTAATCTACTTCCATCTGAGGCAATGTGACAGAAAGTCTCACTCTGAAGTATGTAGAGAATATATCCTGGGAAAGAATGGAATAGCGGACTGCAAAACTAATGTTTTTTAATAGTGTCTCAGCTCCTTCAGTGTCRTAGCTGAAGTGGCATGTGGCCATATGTGTATATTTGGAGAAATAAAAAAGAAACATGAGAAAACTTATCTTTCTCAGTGGATGAGTTTGTGACTGTATTAAATAATACTAAGTATAAGATAATATATTTAGTATAATGTAACATGATTTTTATCACAAGTCTGGTGATAAAAAAAAATACTCTTATGAATTATTTCTTTTAATGCTTCACTATTGAAATGAAGAAAAGATCATTGAAAATCTTTTTCATTTTTTTCAATTTTTCAATTTTTGAAAAATTGAGATTTATTTTCTATTTTAAAATAATTTTGACTTAATATGACAAAAAGTTTCCAAATGAGAAATTTAACAATTAGGTTAGAGAGAACAAATATTTTTTTCTTTTTTGAAGGCCTGRCTGTGATTTTTATATTTTGCTCCATGACGCTATTGGTGACCTATAAAACACAGATATTTTCAGAGGAGGGAAGAATTAATGGAGATCTGTGTTTCTGTATCCTTTTTCTCAAGAATATCAGGATTTGTATTAGAACCCTATGCAAACTCTATTTTTGTTTTGTGAATGTTCACCATTTAAGGTTCTAGAAGGYAAAAGGAGTTCCTTGAATATAATCTACCCACCTATCCGGGCTACCCTAGCTTCTCCTGAGGTTCTTTCTTCCTATTTGACCTAGAACAAGAGGACAAAGGAGCCRAGACTGGTTCCAACAGCAGTGCAGAGACTTGGGCAACGAATGGCACAACTGGTGAGGAAGGGGTGTTGGTGAAGTTCTTTCCATACTATGCTTTTCATACTTCCCCACCTATGGAAATGCAAGGAACTCCAGAGAACAAAGATTTTTACTTATTGCAACTGTGCACCAAAAGCAGCAATTCACCAAATGAACGATTCATTGAAGTGAGTARAAGTAGAGGACATGCATTCACAGCTTGATAACTTAGGCTTTTCAACTGAGGAGATTTTTCAGTCAAACTATGCCTGATTGTGCAGTAGGCAGAGACCTGTCTCTTGTTGTCTAAATTGCCACTAACCTTTATGGAGCCTTCCTTGTCATTCCCACCTTATTAATTGGGGTTTATGAGATTGGTTCAGTGGAACAGTTGCCAGAATTAGAAGGCGAAGGCAAAAAAGCCTCTGCAAAGTATGAAGCAAATTAATCACATTGATTGAGCTTCATGTCGTTTTATGTCTCCTTTTTTTTTTTTTTTTTCCCAAATTATGACTTTTGGCTATTATTTTTGCCTTATGCTCTTGCTAATGGCTTTTACAACAGGAAATCTGCAAAATTCCACCCACCATCTCCCCTTTTGCAATGCCACAAATAACTGTGCTACATGAACATAATTGGTCCTAGCTATTCGACATTTACAGCCAAATATGAATAAATGAAGAGTCCTTAAGCATGTATATGTTAATACCAAAATGGACATTAGGAATCTACTGTTTATCAGGTGTGGTTTTTAAGCTTACAACTGTGAATTTTTAACTTATTTATCAAGTTTCCTACCCAAGACTGAGTGTTTTTGTAAGTGCCTTTGCATAAGTGGCATTTAGATGTTTAATTTGTTTGAGATTAGGAGAAATAGAATATCTTAGAAACAACAATAATAAAAAAAGAGTAGCCATGGAGCTACTCATCAGCACTGCTTCATTCTTTTGGAATAAAAGCCAAAAATTCAGTAAGAGGGACCAAAATACATTGCTTTTGGTCAGTTTGTGGCCTTGGAAATTGCCGTTTATGCTTACATATTAGCAATTGATGTATTCTCATCTGATAATGAGAATATCTGATGGTGCCATTCATATGAAGCTCATATTGGCCTGGAGGCCATCCATTGCTAAGGATGTCTTTCTCTGCAGTGTCCGGGTAGTGGCTATCTGGAATCACAATCTGAATCAGATCGAGATAAATTCAGATTAAATTTAGATTGAGAAGATTTATTAAAGTAGTAATAGCCAGTGCTTTTGCTACTGGCAAGAATGGTGAAGAAAAGGAGGAAATAGCCTGTCTTCTGTGCAGAAGAGTGATAGACTGGATGGCCCAAAGCCTAGAAACTAGAATTTATAAAATAACTTTCTCCTTTTAAAGGAGAATAAGGAGATGCTAATAGACAGAAAAAGGGAACTGGAAGCATGAAACGATGACAAAAGCAGAAGGGCAGGTATAAAACAGGTGCACAAGCAGGGGAGCAATACAGAGGGTAAGAAGTTGGAGGTGATGGGACAAAAAAAAAAAAAAAAAAAAAAAAGCAAGCTGAAAATTCAAGTTAGCTTTGACTATAAGATGAAGTAGCTTAGTGGCAGCCTTTTGGTCTCAGACTTCTGCTCCACATATGCACCCTCAGGAAAATCCCCTCAAAATTCTGCTTTTATTTGGAAAGTTTTCAGAGGTAGCACGTATGGAGAACCAGCACCTTGTCCCCTTCATGAGCATGAGAGCTGGCTAAACAAATGACACTTATTTATGCCCTTCTCAGCAGAAGGGTTCAGCAAGGGATTAACTTTCAAGGAAAGGTTATCTTGAGCAGTTAGATCACTTGAGATTAATAGATAGTTAAGTAGCTGTGTTCAGGAAAAAAGGAGAAAATAGAGGAAGGGCTTTCATCATGAGAGAAAAGGTGGGACTATTCTGAAAGCATTTGAACAAAGTAAGAGGCATATGGACAAATATACATATCTTATTATTAGAGGAAGAAGACCTACGAGTTTCTTGAAGACATGATTTACAAGGATCTCTGAATTTTTTTGTTMTTTGCTTATAGCTCAACTCTTCTGCTTGCCACTTATATGTAGGCTCCCAGAGTTACTCCATAACAAGGTAACACTGGCAGCAGACCTCAGAGGATGGAGCCTGAGTGGCCTTAATGCTGGTGGCAGTAGATTACAGAGC